GTGCACGGGCTGACGCTCTAACCACTGACCCACACCAGCCAGGGCTAAACATGTGTTCTTATTGATATTTTAGAGAGAGAGAGGAAGGTAGAGGGAGAGAGAGGTAGAAATATCGATGGGCCACCTCCTGCATGACCCTACTAGGGATCGAGCCCACATCCTGGGCATGTGCCCTGACTGGGAATCAAACTGGTGACTTCTTGGTACATGGAATGACCCTCAATCCACTGAGCCACACAGGCTGGGCACATACCTGCTTTTTTCATTGGGGTAGGTCTATTCCTGTGCCTGTTGCGGGTTGGGTGTTAAGTCGTATGTGTTTGTTGAGTGGAAAAGTGAGTCACATGGTGATTTGGATTGACAGTAGGTCAGGATAGTCTCATTTTTTATGTACATTAGGACTCTAGATAAAAATAATAGGAATAATGCAGGAAGAGCCCTGGCCGGTTTGGCTCAGCGGTTAGACTGTGGACCTGCGGTCCAGAGAGACCTGGGTTTGGTTACCGCTTGCAGTTTGTCCCTGGCCCTGGTCGGTCGTGCGGGTGGCATCCACTCGATGTGTCCCTTTCATGTTGATGTTTCTCTCTCTCTCTCTCCCCCTCCCACTCTTAGCTGAACAAAAAAATGGAAAAATGTCCTCGGGTGAGGATAAAAAAAAAAAAATGCAGGAAGATATTAACATCTACCTTCTGAGGTCGATTTGAGGTTGTTAAAAGAGTTACTATGAAAGTTTTGGACAGTGCATGGCATATCATAAGAAGTGCTGATAAATGTCATCCCTTGGTTGGCTGACTCTTGCTTGGTATCTTTTGGGTTCTGGGTCATCATGTCTTTATACCAGCCAATTCTCCTTTTATATATTACAGGTTAACAATCTCTATCCACAGTTTGGAGATCCAAAATTATTTGAAATTTCAGTTTTTTAAAATAAATTGTTTAAATGGCAAAAGCTCATGTGATTTGAATTCATTTGCTGCCACAACCAAGCTAATCTGAACCGACATAAAATTTGCTAGTCTGTTTTTTCCCACCTACTTGTGAATTTGCTTAATTTTGCTGCAGGAGTACTCCTTCTTGATTATGTGTCATGTTTCCCCAGGGTCCATTTGGGGTATTATGTTATATATGATGAATATACTTTTTAAAAATCTGAACACTTCCAAATTCTGAAACGCGCCTGGCCTGAGGGCCTAGGGTGGTGGATGACGGACCTGTGCGAGCAAGCACTTAAATGTCTGTTTTTCTTCTTAGACTGCAAAGTCCTGGAGAGCTGGGACTATGTCTTATTTACATGTAGCCTCAATTCTTGGCACATAATAGGCGTTCAGTCAATGTTTAGTGAAAGAATGAACTATGCCAGAAAACACTGGTCAGATGAAGGGAAATAAACCTGACCCTGAGAGCACCTGATTTGTTTCCTAAAGAGACAAAACAGACTGCCTTTGGCTTTCAAGAGGCTGAATTGATTTACTTTTGGGGCACTTAAAAATGTTCAGTGTAGTCCTGGCCAGTTTGGCTCAGTGGTTGGAGCGTCAGCCCGTGGACCAGAGAGTCCCGGGTTCAATTCCAGCCAAGGGCATGTATCTCAGCTGCGATTCATCCCTGGCGTTGGTTGGGGTCATGTGGGTGGCAACAAATTGATGTGTCTTTCTCACACTGATGTTTCTCTCTCTCTCTCTCCCTCCCTCCTGTTCTATCTGAAGATAAGTGGAAAAATATCCTCGAGTGAGGATTAAAACAAAACAAGATAAAAAACACAAAATTTTCAGTGTAATGAGAAATTTGGTAGCAAAATAAAAAACAAAACTTAGTGCCTGTGCTACAGTTTCAGCATCTCTAACTTCTGTTTTTCTCTCTTATCCATTCACCCATGCAGCTCTAAGTCTTTGGCTGATGTCTTGAGAAAGAAAGCCACATGGGAATATGTATATGGAATATTTGGGATGGGTAGGCAAGTGTGTATTTACATTTCTTGATAAGAATGATCATAAAAGCTTTAAATACCTTACCTAATTAATAATGAGTTTAGGGTTTTTTAAAATTTTACAAAGTATGAATCAGGATTGCAAAGAGAAAAGTAGAACATTACAGGTTTTATTATTTTTTTGTCCTCACCCGAGGACATTTTTGCATTTATCTTTAGATAGAGTAGGAGGGAGACAGGGAGGAAGAGAGAGAGAAACATCGATGTGAGAGAGACACATCAACTGGTTGCCACCTGCACGACCCCTTGGGGCCAGGGACGAATTGCAACCGAGGTACATGCCCTTAGCGGGAACCAATCCCAGGACTCTCTGGTCTGCGGGCCGACACTTTAACCGCTGAGCCACACTGGCCAGAGCTACAGATTTAATTATAATAACACACTTGAAATTAAGTTTTCTGATGAATAGACTTATTAGTAAGCAAAAGTAGTTTATGCTTAACATTTTTAAGTGCAATTTATTTTTCATTTTATATGCTTTCATGATCAGAATGAAAATCATTAGTAGCTAAGATATTTGTATTTCCTTGTCTCATAGAGATTAAAATAGCTGTTCACTAACACAGCAGTATAATTATACAGGCTACATAATGCCTTGCTTTAGTAAAAATTCTGTAGGCATCTGAAGAAGTGGAGGGAGAAGACAATTTGAATTATGCAACTGGATTCTTTTCCATTTTGTTTAATAAACTGGCTTGGATACAGTGGCTCATTGGTATTTTTTGATATTTGTAACTGGTACAGCTTAACTTTTAAAAGATAACTGATATGCGGCTTTCTGCTCAACTTACAATGCTTTAACCTAAAATGTGTTAAATGAATCAAATATTCATGTTGAAAAAGAACTTACAATTAAGAAGTTATAGTCATTGAAAGAGCACTGTGCTTATATCAAACTAATTTCTGTTAAATTATGAGTTTAAAATTGTTTTAGTCAGCAATTTCAGTACCACTTCAGAGTTGAAGTAAGTGAAGGATGGATACCCAGAAAAAGTTATAGTGGGAATTTGGCGTTGGGACAGTCATTTTGGGCTCTACTCGTGACCTGAAGAGATATAAACGGAGCCTGTTGTGCTTGGAGAAGCAGAGGAAGTTATTCTGTAGGAAGAGGAAAACCAAAGATCTGAAGAGAAAAACAGGCCAGTTAGAGAAAGAATACTACTAGTTTGTAGCCTCTTGTCTCTCCCTGAGGTAGTAATGCTCATGCCTTTTGGTTCTGTGCTGCTCGTCCGAAATCTTTAGAACATATGTCCTTTATTTAAGCTATTTCAGGTTAGCTGATTTACTGGAGAAAAAAATGTGTTAGGTGCTATAACCTATAGCAAAGAGCAAAGCAGACAAAGCCCCTGCATTAAGGAGCTTATATTCTACCAGGAGGAAGCAGACAGCAGATGAGCAGAGACCCGCTAGCTGGTGTTGAGTCTTTGGTGACCTGATGGAGACGGGAAGGGGGCTGGGTGGGTGCGTAGTGCTATCAGTGAAGGTCCCTCTGCGAGGTAACATTTGAGCAGAAGTAAGGGAGCAAGGGATGGAAACACCAGGGGCAAGAGCATTTCAGGCAGGGGGAGAGCAAGTATAAGGACACTGAAGCCCGAGTCCACTTAATGTGTGTATTCAAGGAACATCAAGAATGCTTTTGAGTGGCTGGATCAGAGTGAGAGAGAGACAGACAGACAGACAGACAGACAGACAGACAGACACAAGGAGGTCAGAGGCGGAGTATGTAGAGTTGAGCAGGGCTCTGTAGTTCAGGGTAAGGGGTGCAGCTCTCCTCCGAGTGGAGTGGAACACCGTTGTAGGATTTAAAGCAGAAGAGTGACTTGTGTTTTAAAAGGATCGCCAGTTGCTGTATTTAGAACAGACTGAAGAGTGGTTGAAAGCAATAGAAAGCAGACCAGGTGAGAGAGGTGGTGGCTTGGACCAAGGTGGTCAAAGTGGACGTAGTTAGAGTTGGTCAAAGCCTGGATATTTTTTTGAAAAACTAACTGATGTACTTTGCCGATGGTTTACATGTGGGATCTGAAGGAAAGAGAAGTTAAGGAAACTCCCAGGTTTTTGGCTTAAACAGTTGGAAAGATGGATTTACCATTTACTGATACAGGGAAGAACTGGGGTTCAGTTTTGAAGTGTTAAGTTGGAAGTGCCTGTTAGACAGCTAAGTGGGGATATCTGTTGGTGCCCTGGTGTAAAGTATTTCTCACTGGACTCCATTCTGGTACTAATTCTCTATAATTTAGTCTTGAAAACTACAACTCAAGCTTTCTCTTCCATCCTCTGATCACATTCTACCATAAAATCCTTTATAAATAATATAGATTTATATTTATTAAGCAATTTTACATTCTAGTAATAATTGACTCTCATTGGAGTTTCAAAAGGACCAAAAAGAAGCTATATTTAAAAAGCACATTAATGCCCTGGCCAGTTTTGCTCAGTGGTTAGAGCGTTGGCCTGTGGTCCAGAGAGACCCGGGTTTGGTTCCTGCTAAGGGCATGTACCTCAGTTGCAGTTTGTCCCCAGCCCTGGTTGGGTCATGTGGGAGGCAGCCACTCGATGTGTCCCTGTCACGTTGATGTTTCTCTCTCTCTCTTCCTCTTTCTCCCTCTCACTCTATCTGAACAAAAAATGGAAAAATGTCCTTAGGTGAGGATTAAAAAAAAAAAAGGTACTAGGGATTAAATTAATAGAAAAGTACATAAAAAAAAAATAAAGCCCTGGCCGGTTTAGCTCAGCGGTTAGAGCATCGGCCTGCGGACCAGAGAGACCCGGGTTTGGTTCCCGCTAAGGGCATGTACCTCGGTTGCGGTTTGTCCCCGGCCCTGGTTTGTGCGGGTGGCAGCCACTCGATGTGTCCCTTTCACATTGATGTTTCTCTCTCTCTCCCTCCCCCTCCCTCCCTTCCTTCTTCCTACTCTATCTGAACAAAATATGAAAAAATGTAAAAAAATAAAATAAAATAAAAAGTACATTAATATGTAAGTGGAAAACTGAATTCTTTCTCTCTCCCTTTTTATAGTTGCTTTGTGTTGTTAATTTTGAAGTAAACGAATTTTTAAAAATGAGTGAACTGGAACAGTTGAGGCAGGAAGCCGAACAACTGCGGAATCAGATCCAGGTAAGAGCAATCTTTTTCATTTTTTCAGAAACATTTTTAACACTTTTATTTAGTACCAGTAATGAACCAAATTTGCTCATTAGGTCATCATTCTACATATATTAAATAATTTATAAGACTGGAAATGGTCAATTGTTTTTATCATGTCTCTAAAGAACACTCCAAAAATCATCCCCAACATATAAGTATTTGGACTAGTGGCCTCTGTGTTCTGAAAAAGATAATATCATGCATGTGATCCCTGCTGAACGATGAACGTAATTCTCTCTTTAGCCACCCACCTGGAATCGAAGTTTGATATTTGATGCAATACGATGAGGCAGATATTATCACGTAATAAACTAAAAATTATTCATCTCTAAACCATTAGCTTGCAGAAAACATCAAAAATGATTAGTGACATGATAAAGACATCTGTCATCTTTAACTCTTGATAATCAACTTAAAACAGTAAAGAGCATAAGAAACAAATACAAGCTCCATCTGTAACAAAATTAAAAGACACTTGGAACTTCGTAATAGGATGGTGAAGAGTTGTCAAATGTGGTGATACTTCAGGGGTGGGAAGGCTCAGAAGAGTTTCTGCAGCTGTAAATCTCACACAAAGTAGGTAGCACTCCCTCGGGGACAACTCCAGTAATCCTTTCTTTGGAACAGTGGAAAGAGATGCCTGCCTGGACCGAGGAATAGCAAAGTAGGCAGAGAAAAAATGAGAGGACCCAGACATGCCATCTGTCAGGAAGCCTCGTTAACAGGGTGGAGGAAAGAGTCTAATTGTGTGTAGCCTGGCGCTGCTTACTTCTTGTCACAGGGAGAAAGTAAGGGCTAAAGCAGCTTGCAAGTATAAATGAAGAACTTGGGCGTGAAGCAGGGAGAATCTCTAATAATGTGGACCACTGCTGAGGCCCTCTCCAGGATGAACTTTCTGCTATAGGTATTTCAGAAGAACTCGTAATTTGAAAGTGAGGAGTAAGAAAAAAGGAACAAGCACAGGCTTTCTACAAAGTTATTACAAGAAAAGAGGGAAAGGAGCAGGGAAAACAAGGTTTGGGCAAAGAACACTCCCTGGGAAAATGTTGATTCTGAGTGGATTGAAATCATAACCAGTCTTATTGCCAGGAATGCAAAGAACTTAATTAATTAGATGTGAATAAAAGTTGGAGCTGATACCTTAGGTGTCGGAACAAAGCTGACAAAACAGAGGAGGGATTTATTTTGCCTGTGATGAACAGGGAAGGCTTCATGGGCTAATCTCCGAACTAGATGTTGCTGCTACCACCAGAAAGGATTCTCAACCATCTCTACTTTTTGTGACTTGCTCCAGATGCTGGCAGGATCTCCTGACTGGACAAGCACATCTCATTTTTATTTTATTTTTTATTTTTTCCAAATCTTTATTGTTGGATGTAAAATGTATTACAGATGTTCCACATTTTTCCCCCATTGACCCCCTCCTCCCCACTCCCGCCCCCCTCCCACCTTTTCCCACACTATTGTCTGTGTCCATTTGTTATGCATATAAGTTCTTTGGCTTATTTCTTCCCCCCCCCCCAACCCCTTTCCCTTTGAGGTTTGTCAGCCTAGCAATGAGTTTGTGCTTCTTAATCCCTTCACCTTTTTCACCCATTCCCCCAACCCCCTTCCCAACTGGCAACCAATAAAATGTTCTCTGTATCTATGAGAATGTTTCAGTTCTTCCTGTTCATTTTGTTTGTAGATTCCATTGTTGATAGATATGTATTCATTGCCATTTTGTTTGTTCATACATTTTATCTTTTTCTTCAAAAAGACCCTTCATCATTTCATATAATAACGGTTTGGTGGTGATGAACTCCTTTAACTTTTTCTTGTCTGGGAAAGTTTTTGTATGTCCATCGATTCTAAATGACAGCTTTGCAGGATAGAGTAATTTTGGTTGTAGGTTCTTGGTTTTCATCACTCTGAATATTTCTTGCCACTCCCTTCTGGCCTGCAAAGTTTCTTTTGAGAAATCAGCTGACAGCCTAATGGGTACTCCCTTGTAGGTAACTAGCTGCCTTTCTCTGGCTGCTTTTAAGATTCTCTCTTTGTCTTGAACCTTTTGCATTTTGATGATGATGTGTCTTGGTGTGGGCCTCTTGGGGTTCATCTTGTTTGGGACTCTCTGTGCTTCCTGGACTTGTATGTCTGTTTCCTTCACCAAGTTAGGAAAGTTTTCTGCCATTATTGTTTCAAACAGGTTTTCGATTTCTTGCTCTCTCTCTTCTCCTTCGGGCACCCCCAAGATGCGAATGTTGGCACGCTTGAAGTTATCCCAGAGGCTCCTTACTCTATCCTCATTTTTTTGGATTCTTTTTTCTTTTTGCTCTTCTGATTGGGGATTTTTTGCTTCCTTATATTCCAAATCGATGGTTTGCTCCTTGGATCTACATACTCTATTATTGAAGCTGTGTAAATTATTCTTTATTTCAGTTAATGCCTCCTTTAATTCTAACTGTGTATCCATGATTTCTAACTGGTACTTTTTTATGCTCTTGATGCCCTCCCTAAGTTCACTGAGGTTCTCACTAAGTTCATTGAGCATCCTTATAAGCAGTATTTTGAACTCAGTATCTGTTAGGTTGCTTATCTCCCTTTCGCTTAGTTCTTTTATTGGGGTTTTGTTCTGTTCTTTCATTTGGGACCTGTTTCTTTGTCTCCTCATTTTGGCTGCCTCCCTGTGTTTGTTTCTGTGTGTTACTTAATGAGAGGTATGGGGCTCGCTGAGGCCCGGTGCTGCTCGTTTGAAAGAATTTAGGAAAAACCTGAAGCAGGATCCAAGACCGGCCAATCCTATGGTTAAGCAAGTGGCAACAGCTTGTTGAAGTTGTGTGGGGCGGGGCGGGGCCTCAGGGAGTCAGCAGGGCGGGGCTACCAGTGTGAGCCAGGTTGCTGGAGTCCCAGATATGGCTTCTGTCTGCCGCCCCCGGGAAGGGCTCACCAAAGGAACAAAGGCCTCTGACAGCACGTTTGTCCCGGAGGAAGCCCCCTCTCCAGCTCTCGCTCCAGTGCCAAACAGCTCAGTTCTTCCCTGCGTGTCTCTGGCGCCCCTCGAGCTGCCTCCCCTCAAGCTTAGAGGGAGAGAGTCCGATAAGTCCGTGCGCGGGCCCTTTAGGGAGCTGCCTGGGGCTCCAGCCGCTTCAGCTTCCCTGAGCCTCAGTTTCCGCTGGTTTTTCCAGCCAGAAGTGATGGGGACTTCTCTTCCTGGCACTGCAACCCTGAGCGGGGCACCTGGTGTGGGACGGGGACCCTTCAGTCCTCAGGAAGGACCTTCCCAGCCGCGGGATCCTCCTGATTTTTATCCACCACGCTTGGGTGTGGGACCAGCCCGTCTCGCTGCTGCGCGCTCCGCCGCCGCCCCCCCTCGCGCCGCCGCCCCTCCTACCGGTCTGGATGTAGCTGCTTTTTTTTTTTCCTTAGTTCCGTAGTTGTACAACTTCCATTCAGCTTGATTTCAGGCGGTTTTGAATGATGGTTGTTCTGTAGTTTAGTTGTAACTTTGATGTGGTTGTGGGAGGACGCGATACCGCATTTACCTACGCCACCATCTTGACCGGAAGTCCGCACATCTCATTTTTAGAAAACCTGTTCTTGCCCTGGCTGGTTTGGCTCAGCGGATAGAGACCTGGGTTCATTTCCCACTAAGGGCACGTACCTCAGTTGCAGTTTGTCCCCGGCCCTGGTTGGATTGTGCGGGTAGTAACCACTTGATGTGTCCCTTTCACATCGATGTTTCTCTCTCTCCTTTCCTCTCTCTCCTTTCCACTTTATGTGAACAAAAAATGAAAAAATGGCCCTGGCCGGTTTGGCTCAGTGATTAGAGCGTCGGCCTGCAGTCTGAAGAGACCTGGGTTCGGTTCCTGCTAAGGGCACGTACCTCGGTTGCAGTTTGTCCCGGACCCTGGTTGGGCCGTGTGTGGGGCAACCACTCGATGTATCCCTTTCAAGTCAATGTCTCTCTCTCTCTCCCCCTCCCACTCTATCTGAACAAAATATCGAAAAATGTGCTTGGGTGAGGAAATAAATAAATAAATAAATAAATAAATAAATAAATAAAATCAGGGCACATGCTGTCTTCAGCTTCGTTTTCGTTTCTCAAGATTTCTTTGGCTATTTGGGGGTCTTTTGTGGTTCCATACAAACTTTAGGATTTGTTTCTTTCTGTGAAAAATGTCATTGGAGTTTTTATAGTGATTACATTGAATCTATAGATTGCTTTGGATATTATGGACATTTTAACAATATTAAGTCTTCTAATTAATGTGCATAGAATATCTTTTTATTTATTTGCATCTTCAGTTTTTTTTATCAGTGTTTCATAGTTTTCAGTGCTTTGTCTTTTACCTCCTTGGTTAAATTTATTCCTAGATATTTTAAAATTTTGATGCAATTGTAAATGGGATTCTTAAATTTCTCTTTTGATAGTTCTTTATTAGTATAGATACATAACAGATTTCTGTATATTGGTTTTTGTATTCTGCAACTTTACTGAATTCATTCTAACAGTTTTTTTGGTTGAGTCTTTAGGATTTTCTATATATTATACCATGTCATCTGTGAATAGTGATAGTCTACTTCCTCCTTTTCAATTTGGATGCTTTTTATTTCTTTTTCTTGCCTAGTTGCTCTTGCTAGGACTTCCAGTACTACGTGTACTGGAAGTAGACATCGAAGTGGTGAGAATGGGCATCCTTGTCTAGTTTCTGATCTTAGAGGAAAAGCTTTCAGCTTTTGACCTTTGGGTTTGTCATATATGGCCTTTATTATTTTGAGGTATGTTCCTCCCCTGTACCTACTTTGTTGAGAGGTTTTTTGTTTTTTTAATTATATATGGATGTTGGATTTTGTCAAATGCTTTTTCTGCATCAATTAAGATGATCATGATTTTTAGTTTTCATTTTGTAAACGTGGTATATCACATTGATTTGTGGATACTGAACCATCCTTGCATCCCTGGAATAAATCACACTTGATCATGCTGTATGATCCTTTTTATATTTTTTATTTTATTGATGTTCGAGAGAGAGGAAGGGAAAGGGAGAGAGAGATAGAAACATTGATGAGAGAGAACATCCATTGGCCACCTCCTGCATGCATGTGGGGATTGGGCCCACAGTCTGGGCATGTGTCCTGACCAGGAATTGAACAGGCTACCTCTTGGTACATGGGTCAACACTCAACCGCTGAGCCACACCAGCTGGACAAGTTCTTGTCGATGTAAATAGAATCTCGGCATACAATCAATTTGCAAGTAACTGGTGCTAAGATATTTGTAGAATTCCTATATTCCAACATGATGTTTTCATTTTTGCTAACAATTTGCACTATTATTCAGTAATTTTCACTTGCAGTTTGTTAATTGTATTGTTACTATTAAAGTAAGCTCAATGTAGGCAGGGTCTTTGGGTTTTTTCCACTGCTATATCCATGGTCCCTAGAATAGTACCTAACACGTAGTGTTCAACAGATTTTTTTAATTGAATGACTGAATTAAGAAGATGACCTAGCTCTGGCTGGTTTGGCTCAGCAATTAGAGCATTGGTCTGTGGACTGAGAGGTCACAGGTTTGTTGCCCAGTCAAGGGCCCATACCTGGGTTGCAGGTTCTATACCCAGCCCTGGTCAGGGTCATGTGGGAGGCAACCAATCGATGTGTCTCTCTCACATCGATGTTTTTCTTTCTCTCCCCCTCCCATTTTATCTAAAAAAAAAAAAAAAAATCATCTTTGGGTGAGGATTAACAAAAAAAAAGAAGAAGAAGGTGACCTAAATGATATAGTTCATTTCATAAAGCTTAAAATCAGAGAACTCTTTTTTTAGAATTTAGTCTTCAGGTCTACCATTTTTGGAACATGGCTCAGGCCATCACTGTCATTTCTGGACATTCTTTTCATTGCATAAAAGTGGGCTAAACCATTTCTTGCAAAATGAGGTTTCTTAACCCATAATTTGACTAAGAAGGAGAGAATCAAATCGCATGTTTGTGTAACTACTTATATAACACCCTGACATAGAAATATTCTAAGTGTTTATAAGTAGGTTGAAAGGGCAGCCAGAAAGATTGTGCATTCCACCCAGTCTGGTGCGAGTGGAGGCAGGGGAAACTTGGCTGACTGGAACACGTTGTCCGCTTGGGACATTTATTCAACAAATATTGTGTGCCTCCTCTTTGCACAGGAGCGTATGAAGCACAGTTGGGAAAAACAAAGTGGAAAAGGACACTACCCTAGCCCTCAAGGGAAAACAGTTATTTCAAGTCTAGTAGGAAGAATTAATTGCACTTCTGATTCCCCACGTATATGAATCCTCTAAATTTGTTACTAACTGATTAAACTTGGTTTAACACATTTTTTGTTGATTATATGTATTCTTTCCTTGCCTTTCCTTATTTTGTTATGTTGATTTCTGTTTCATTATCTTGCTTTTGATAATTCCTTTCAGTTTGTATAAAAATTTAAGGTTTCTGAAAGTGAACCCTGTAATGCTTAGGCATAAACACCAGCTTATGTGTTATTAATTAATGCTATTAACATAAATATATAGACGTGGCTCAGTATAAACTGTGGCTACAATATAAAAATTGTTTTTCCTGAAATATCATGTCCTTTTCTCATATATTTCTAATAGCATCTATATCTAGTGTATTGGAAAGCATTGTCATAGAAGTGCTATGTGTTTTTATTTATTTTTTTATTTTTGGATAGTGCTATATATTTTTTAAAATATTTCTGAAATGACCCCGGTTATACTATAAACATCCTTCCTATCACTTAATTTCTAGATGCCAGAATAAACAGAAGGAAGCTCAGAACCCTCCGTTTTGCTGAAGCTTAGTAACAGATATTATTATGAATGTGTGGCCTTATTAAATCATCCTAGTTCATTTATGCTCAGGGAATACAATTAAAACTCTTTTAATCATAAACCCAATATATATTTTCACAATGAAATACAATTGAGAGTCCATAAATCAATCAGTTGGCCACAGATAATGGTTTTTCAACCAGGGTAACAAGACCATTCAGTAGGGAAAGAAAAATCCTTTGAAGAAATGGTGCTAGGACAACAGGATTTCCACGTACAGAAGAATGAACTCGGACGCCTCCATCACAGCATGTGTAAAACTGAACTCAAATGGTGCCCAAATATAACAGCTAGAGGTGTACAATTATTAGAAATAAACATAGTTGTTAATCTTTGTGACCTTGGATTAGGTAAGAGTTTAATATGACACTAAAAGCACAAGCAACAAAAGAAAAAATAGATATATTGGACTTCATGAAAATTAGAAACATGTGTGTCAGAGAACACTATCAAAAAAATGAAAAGTCAGCCTACAGAATGGGAGAAAATATTTGTAAATCATACACCTGATAAGAGCCTAGTGTTCAGAATACTAGAGCTCCTACAACTCAACAATAAATGGCCCTGGTTATAAGTGGGCAAAGAGCACTGGCCGGTTTGGCTGTGGATAAAGGGTCGGCCCAAAGACCAAAGGGTCACAGGTTCAATTCCAGATCAAAGGCATGCATCTGGGTCATAGGTTTGATCCCCTGCCCTGGTCGGGTTTGTGTGGGAGGCAACCAATTGATGTGTCTCTCTCACATCGATGTTTTTCTCTCCCTCCCTCCCTTCCACTCTACCTAAAAATCAATGGAAAATATCCTCAGCTGAGGATTAGCAAAAATAAAAAAGTGGGCAAAAATTTTGAATAAACAGTTCTCCACAGAAGATACACAGAAGATACACAGTTCTCCACAGAAGATGGCCAGTAAGCACGTATAAAGATACTCCACATGAAAAGATGCTCAGTATCACTAATCATTAATGAATGATTACTAGATTAGTGAATTAGATTAGTGAATGATTAGTGAAATGCAAATCAAAACCCCTAGATACACTTTCAAGTCCACTAAGATGGCTATAATAATGCTGATTACAAAAAGAAGAAGACAGCAGCGGTGTTGGTGAGGGGGTGAAGAAACGGGAACTCTCAAACGTTCCCGTTGGGATGATAAAATGGTGCAGCTGCTATGAAGAACAATGTGATAGTTTCTTAAGTTAAGAAAAATTTATACATGAATGTTCAAAGCATTATTATTCATAAAAGCCAGAAAATGGAAACAACTTAAATGTCCATCACTCAACTAATGGATAAGCAAATATGATATATCAATATAATGGAATATTACTTGGCCCTGAAAAGAAATGAAGTACTGTTATATGCTACCACATGATGAATCTTGAAAACATATTAAGTGAAAGAAGCCAGACACATTTTTATAAAATTTCCAGAATAGGCAAATCCATAGAGATAGAAAAGTAAATGAGTGATTACCAGGGGGTGTGGGAAGAGGATTTCTTTGTTTGGAGTGATAGAAATGTTCTGGAATTAGGTAGTGGTGATGGTGAATATACTAACCACTGAATTATACACCTCAAGATGACTTAAATGGTTAACTTTATGTTATGTGAATTATATCTCAATAAAAGTTGTTTTAAATAAAGATAATGTGGTACAGTAAAAAATACATTTGCAATTCTACGTTAGCCATGAAAATATTCTTTATATTAAATCTAGTGATTTCCATGTCTAAATGTATTCTAATCCTTTCTTTACTTCAGGATGCTAGGAAAGCATGTAATGATGCAACACTTGTTCAGGTAAAGTTTTCCTTCTCAATTTACTTGTATAACTCACATGAGACAGCTTTACCCTGATGCAGTGACATTCAGATTCTTCTCTATTTGTATTTAATTGAAAACAATGAGATCTCTAGAAACACTTTGTAATTTGTCAGAGGCTGTACAAGTGCTTTTAAAAGCATACTTGTGTGTGTGGGGGGGCAGGATCCGGAGGAAGGGATGGGGGTGGGGGGTCGGGGGGACATCTGTAACACAAATAAATTAATTATTTTTTTAAAAAAGCATACTTGTTAAAGTAGAAATCTGTGGAAAATAAATACTATAAAAATATGTAGATTCTTATATGTTTCATTTTAGGTAGCTTCTTGATTCTTTTTGGTATACTCTGATTAAGTTTTTATTGTATAAACTCTTAGGAAGGTTTTATCAGTTTAATTAACATGAATAATTTTCATTAAGGAAATATGTGCTTTACAAATATAAAACTGGCTTTCTTACAGGCAGTTAAAACTATAAGTGTTTTACTCTTTGATAATATACTCTTAGATTTTTATTAGGGCTTTTTTTTTTTTTGCTTAAATTGGGAGGTATGTCTATTCCTTTTAGTTAATAGTCTACAGAAGATATGCTTATTGAAAGGTGTGCATGTAACATAATTTTAAATCAGTCATTTTTTCTTGAACTACATATTAATCCTATAATGTGCAGAATTTTTATATTAAATTACCTTCAGTCGCTCTAAATTTGTCTTATGTCTGATTTCTTGCCTATTGTTTCTACTTTATTTTCTGAGGTATGTCTAAGGTAAAGAGTAACATTCATGTTGCTTTCTAAAGATCACATCAAATACGGATTCCGTGGGTCGGATACAAATGCGAACAAGACGTACGCTGAGGGGACACCTAGCTAAAATCTATGCCATGCACTGGGGATACGATTCAAGGTGTGTATCTGCCATCGTGTATCTGCCATCTTCAAACTGTCCGCAGAATTACATTCATTAAGAATCGTCATTTGACCCTGGCCGGTTTGGCTCAGCGGTTAGAACGCTGGCCTGCAGTCCAGAGAGACCCGGGTTCGGTTTCCGCTAAGGGCGCGTACCTTGGTTGCAGTTTGTCCCCAGCCCTGGTTGGGTTGTGTGCGTGGCAGCCACTTGATGTGTCCCTTTCACGTCGATGTTTCTCTCTCTCTCCCTCCCACTCTATCTGAACAGAAAATGGAAAAATGTCCTTAGGTGAGGATAAAAAAAAAATCGTCCTTTGCATTTCCTTTAAAACAAATAATTTTTGTAGTTAAAAAACAAGCTATATTTATGAAATGTTTGCAGAAAATGCTACTGTTATGAAGGCTTTGCTTTCACTAAAAATATTCAGTAACACTTTAAAAGTTTAGAAACCTTGATTATGGAAAATAAATTTATCTCTCAAAAACATTCATTAGTAAAGCTTAAGGTAAACTGTTTAGGATTTCTTTTCTTTGTGGTGGGGTGTTATACTTTGGTTTTTACTATGCCAAAAACAGTTCTATTGTATATTAACCTTAACATTTCAGTTAATAAGCAAATATTGCTATGTATAAGTTACTGGATATTGCTATAATTATTACCTAAATTCACAAAGGATGGAAGTACATATCTATCTTTAGCTCCCAAAATGCATTTTTCAAGATGCATTCTCTTTTGTGAAACTACTTGATTAATTCAAATTGTGGTTATTTTTCCCTCTTTTCCTTTCCTTTAGCATTTATTTTATGCTGCTCTGATGATTTTCACTTACTTGATTTCACATAAATATATGTAAATATCTTGTCTACCAGTTGGTGGAGGCCTCAAGGGTAGGTGGTATTTTCTGTGTTGTACCCATAACACTACCTTGCGTTCACAGACTCTCAGTTGATACTTTTTGATTGACCGAAAGATGGTTGTTAGGCTTACACGTGCTCTGTTGTCATTAAATTTAAATCGGTAAGTACAAACCAGTCTGCTAATACCAGAACTTGAATAAGAACCTAGAATGCTGTCACCATGAAAAAGCTGAATCGTAACCAGAGACATTTTTTAGTAAAATGTCTAAATCTTGCTAAATTTTGTTATATTGAAAGTTTTGGCATGCAGAATAAATTTCTTTTATAGTTGGGAGACTAATTTTTGGTATCAAGTTTTTAATTTGAAAAATATATTTTATTTCTGAACTGTTCTACATTAATGCATAACTAATTTAAACTACTTCTTCCTCTAAGTGTCAAATTATTTTTGTTTGTTGTTCTAGGCTACTAGTCAGTGCTTCCCAAGATGGAAAATTAATTATTTGGGATAGCTATACAACAAATAAGGTAGACTTTCTCAATCATTCTTTTGAGTAACTTATTACTTGACTTGATATTCATCAGCTCTTTCCTTTATTCTGCTTTTTCCAACTGTGATTTTCTCCTAAGATAAATGTATTCCATTTATTTTAATCTAGACCCTCTCTTGAGGCTCAGTGTTTCCTTTTAGTTCCCAGGAACAACTGCAGAAATATTGTTCAGTGTGTTTTACTAGACACACACAAATATTTCATATTTGACTATTAGAAAAGAGTGTGCATCAGCTTTACATATAAATGATGTTTTAAACAAATTCCCATTTCCTAAAGTGGCAAGGACCCTGAGATTTTTATTTCTAGTTGTGGGTTTAGCTAGAACGCTAGTGGGAAGCATTTTTTTGGTCCACTCTAGGCATTGGTTTGTGTTTCTGGACTGCTCAGAAGAGATAGCGATTGGAGACAAATCACAACTTGTTTAGATCTCTTGCTGGTGAAAGTCAGTGGGTCCCCTAAGTGTTCACTGGAAGAAATGCCTGACACACACGTGTTGAGTGGTAGTGCAAAGGCTTCAGGAAAACATTCAGAAGTCATTTTCCTTTAGGTTCTGTGTACTCTTATATCACTATTTTTATTAAAGTTTAAAAAGTATAATTTTGTGAAATAAACCGTATTTTCAGCCTGATTGAGAATTTAAATGTAGCTAAGACAGATTTGCATATTATAACAGTTTTTCTGTATTAATTGGCATTGAGCATGTGTATTTCAATTATATATTCCTAAAATAAACAAAAAAATGGTGTATTAAAAATATTATTTTAGGTTAGGTGAGAGCACAGTAGTACTTACACAATATGTTGATTCTCTGTGTGGACCATTTAGCCTTACTGGTCCCATACACCTTACATTTTACTGCCTGACCTGCAGATGATTGGTGTTGGGTAGGAAGTCACCAGACAGTGGTATGAGTAAGTCAGTGAAAACTACTCCCATTGTTTAAATTCAAGCCCAGAGTAGGTGTGCCCTGTTATTAGAAGGACCATCTCTTCGTGCAAGAACCATTTTCATAGACTCTGATACTTGTATTACTCAGTGACGTGTTGGAAGAAATTCCTCTTTTGTGCACTACTCCATAAACAAAGAATTTTATTACATTTTTTATCTTGAACATTTTACACTTAGTATTTCAAATTGTTATATAGTATCGAAATATCCTTCTTCTTGCTACTCATAAAAGGATTTCTCAAAAGGGCAGTTAAATTATTTCTAATAATACAGAAAAAGGAAGAGGTATTTCAGTGTGCATTACTATTTTATTTTTCATTGTTCCCTTTCTCAATCCATTGCATTCTTTATTTTCCCTTAATTTTTAGATGCATTTAATTTTTAGTAATATTTGCTTCAATGTAAATAGGTTTGGAAAATGAATGACTTAGTCATCGCTTTTGTGCATTCTGTTTGTTCTACAGATGCATGCCATTCCTTTGAGGTCCTCCTGGGTGATGACCTGTGCTTATGCTCCCTCTGGTAATTATGTTGCTTGTGGAGGCCTGGACAACATCTGCTCTATATATAACTTAAAGACCAGAGAGGGAAATGTGCGTGTGAGCCGAGAGTTGCCGGGTCACATAGGTGAGCTCCGCAGAACATGGTCCTGTGTTTCTTTAAAAAGTATTATTTATTTATCTATTTTATTGTTGACAGTATTACAGATGTTCCCCTTTAAAAAAGTATTAATTTTGTAAAGATAATAAATTTATTGCAAAAAATCCAAACAATAATGAAAATATAAAAAGAAAGCAAATGAGATTTTCTGTATTCTCTGCAACCATATAACATTATGGGTTTTGGCACCTATACTTAATTATGTGATTGAAAGTATAAAGATAACACTTAGGAAGTATTTTTCATGGTGGCAGCACATTGCTTTATTGGCCAGAGTGCACAGCATAGTTCAGTGTTATAGCATTTGGTTAGCAGTGATAATTAGGAATTTTTGCCCCTCATCAGGTTTCTGCCTTTCCAATTTCTTTGCAAAACTATTTGACCATGCTTTTAACAAAATCTTTACAATAGCATTTTTCTGCCATTTTCATATTTTGAAATCCTGGTAAATTCTGAGCATTCAAGTGACACCTTTTTCATGGATCATTCACTGGGATAGTGGTTCTGATTTCTCACAATACTTTTGATTTTTGTCCAAGGTACTTAATCCCATCTGCCATAGATTATAGATATTTGAGAGGAATAGCTCTCTCTCTCTCTCTCTCTCTCTCTCTCTCTCAGGTGATTGTAGTAGAAGAGGGGTGGGGAGGGGGACTGTGTCTTGGATTGTAACTTTCAGAGTGCCCAACATGATGTCAATGACACAGTAAATACCTAAGAGTTAGTTGATAATTTAGTTTGACAGCGTAGAGTTTGAAGTAATTAAAAGTAGAATTGTAGATTGTACTAAGAAACACTGTTAACCAGATATTATATTTTTAAGAATATAGGTTAGTATTTATCCCTGGTCGGGTAGCTCAGTTGGTTAGAGCATCATCCTGATATGCCAAGGTTCATCCTGATATGCCAAGGTTCAGTCCCCAGTCAGGGCACATAAGAGAAGCAACCAATGAATGCATAAATAAGTAGAACAACAAATTGATGTTTCTCTCTCTCAGTATATATATTAGTATTTCATATACTAATTGCATTATTTAATCAATCAATGATAACCTAAAATGTTACTCTTTCTGCTGTAGGCTACTTGTCCTGCTGTCGTTTTTTAGATGACAGCCAAATTGTTACGAGTTCAGGAGATACAAATTGGTAAGTTTGTTTCAGAACACTGATTTGGGGGTTGAGGGTGATAGCAGGAACTAATGTAAGAAGATATAGTCATTATTTTTATTCATTTTTAATTACAGTGCTCTATGGGACATCGAAACTGCCCAGCAGACCACCACATTCACGGGGCATTCTGGAGATGTGATGAGTCTTTCTCTGAGTCCTGACATGAGGACTTTTGTTTCTGGTGCTTGTGATGCCTCCTCCAAGTTATGGGATATTCGAGATGGAATGTGTAGACAGTCTTTCTCTGGACATGTGTCAGATATTAATGCTGTTAGTGTAAGTGAATAGCATTTATAAGGGAAATTTGTTATACATTTAAAGTGCTGAACTCTATAGCATGATTTTCACAACAAATTGCCTTCAAGGATTCTTATAAATATAATTTATAAATTCTTATAATGTGCTCTTATAACATTGAATTCCCAAATAGTAAGAGTTTGATTTTAAAAAGAAAAAACCAGCCCTGGCTGAAGGGTTCATTTTGTTGACCGTCGTCCCAACATGATGTCAGTGACACAGTAAATACCTAAGAGTTAGTAGATAATTTAGTTTGACAGCGTAGAGTTTGAAGTAATTAAAAGTAGAATTGTAGACTGTACTAAGAAACACTGTTACCCAGATATTATATTTTTAAAAATAAAGGTTAGTATTTATCCCTGGTCGGGTAGCTCAGTTGGTTAGAGCATTATCCTGATATACCAAGGTTCAGTCCCCAGTCAGGGCACATAAGAGAAGCAACCGAAAGGTTGCCAGTTCGATTCCTGGTCAGGGCACATGCTGGGGTTTCAGGCTCAGTCCCAGATAGCGGGCATGCAAGAGGCAGCCAGTTGATGTTCTGCTCTCACATCGAAGCCTCTCTTCCTCCCTCCCTCTTACTCTTTCTCTAAAAAGCAATAAAAATATATATTTTTAAATAAAAAGGAAAAAGAAAAAACCTGAGCTCTGGCCAGATAGCTCAGTTGGTTAGAGCGTCATCTCAATATGCCAGGGTTGTGAGTTTGATACCTGGTCAGCACATACAAGAATCAACCAATGAAAGCATAAATAAGTGGAACAACGACTGTCTCTCTCTCTTTCTCTGTCACTTCCTTTCTCTCTCTAAAATCAATTTTTAAAAAAACACAAAAAACAAGGTTTCATCCATAAGCTTAGGTTTTTGTTTGCAGGTGAACAATAAGATTTACTTCCAGATTTAGAGAGAGCATCTTGAGCATACAAAGTGGATGTCCACAAAAGTGTGTTCAAGTTGTTCACAATATTTCTTTATTATCCTTTGACATCTGTTGAATCTGTAGGGTGTCTCATTCATGACATTGGTAATTTGTCTTAGTTTTCTCCTGATTAGTCCAGTGTTGTCGGTTGAATTGTATGCCTCCAAAGTTTTATGTTGAAGTCTAGCCTCCAGCACCTCAGAATGTGACCTTATTTGAAAATAGGGTTGGCCCTGGCCGGTTTGGCTCAGCGGTTGGAGCGTCGGCCTGCGGTACAGAGAAAATAGGGTTGTTGTAGATGTGATTAGCTGAGATGTACTGGATTGCCTATAATACAATATGACCAGTGTCCTTAGGAAAAGGGGACAATAGAGAGAGCAAGCATAGAGGGAAAACTGTGTTAAGACAGACTTCTACAGGGCAAGGAGAGAGGCCCTAACATATCCTTCCCTCCCAGCCCTCAGACACCCTGATCTCAGGCTTCTGTGGAGCCTCCAGAACTGAGACAATAGATGTGTCCTTTAAGCTACCCAGTGTGTGGTACTCTGTTACGGTGGCCCCAGCAAACTCATACATTTGGCTAGAGGTTTACCAGTTTGGTTTATCTTTTGTGCTGCTTACTTGGGTTTCATTTGCTTTCCTTTTTCTAGTTTCTTTTTTATCCTCACCCGAGGATATTTTTCCATTTTTTGTACAGATAGAATGGGAGGGAGAGAGAGGAAGGGAGAGAGAGAGAAACATCGACGTGAAGGGACACATCGAGTGGCTGCCACCCGCACGACCAACCAGGGCCGGGGACAAACTGCAACCGAAGTACATGCCCTTAGCGGGAACCGAACCTGGGTCTCTCCGGACCGCAGGCCGACGCTCTAACTGCTGAGCCAAACTGGCCAGGGCTCTAGTTTCTTAATGTAGAAGGTGACACCATTGATTTGAAACTTTTTTATTTCCTAAAAGTTACAAATTTCTTTCTAAACATTGCTTTTAGCTACATTCCACAAATTTTGATGTGTTGTGCTTATATGCACTTGAAAAGAATTTGTATTCTGCTGTTACTGGGTGAAGAGTTTCATAGATGTCAGGTTGAAGCACTATTCAAGTCTTCTGTATCCTTACTGATTTTAGTCTGTCCTTTCTATTCATATTGAAAGAAGGGTGTTGAAATCTCTAATTGTGCATTTGTCCATTTTTCCTTGCAATCTATTAGTTTTTTGCTTCATATATTTCAAAGAATACACCTTTAGGATTATTATGTCCTTTAGTGAATTGATTCCTTTATCATTATGAAATTGAGCTCTTTATCCCAGTAATGTTATTTGCTCTGAAATCTTTGTCTGATATTATAACAGAACTACCCCAGTTTTCTTTTGATTAGTGTTAGCGTGGGCATAGCTTTTCTCTTCCTTTTAATTTCAACCCATTTGTGGCTTTATATTCAAAGTGATTTTCTTAATACATAGCAGTTGGGTCTTGCTTTTTTTTTTTAATAGTCTGATTATTTCTGCCTCTTAGAGTTTAGACCCAAAACTGAAATAATAAGAGTTGCATTTAGAAAGTAGGAAAAAAATAATTATTTTCAGGTGATGTGTTTAGTTATCTAGATATCCCAAGAAAGATTTCAGTGTGTTTTCTAGATTACAAAAACTATTTTAAAATCAATAACTTTGCTATACCAATGATAGCCAGGTAGAAAAAAGGAAGGAAGAAAATCCTATTGAGAACAGCAACAAAAATTATAAAATAAACAAGGATAAATTTCTTAAGAAGTTTGCTGAATCTTTATGAAGATAATCATAAAACTTCACTGGTAAACATTATCTTTTAATCCTCACCTGAGGATATGTTTTTCATTGATTCTAGAGAGGAAGAGAGGAGAGAGAGAGAGAGAGAGAGAGAGAGAGAGAGAGATCGATCGGTTGCCTCCTATACACACCTCGACTGGGAATTGAACCCACAACCTGCATATGTACCCTAACTGGGAATCCAACCCTTGGCCCCTTGGTGCATGGGTTGATGCTCTAACCAGCTGAGCCACACTGGCCAGGGCCAGTAAGCACTTTTTTTAATTCCATGTTTCTGAATGGGAAGACTGCATATTGTACCAATCATTTATCTCTCAAATTGATTTTTAGGTTTAATACAAATTTTCATCAAAACCCAAGTGGAGCCCTGTGTGGCTCATTTGGTTTAGTGTCATCCCATACACCAAGAGATTGAGGGTTTGATTGCTGCTCAGGGTGTGTATGGGAAGCAGCCAATCAATGTTCCTCTTTCTCCCCCTTCCTCTCCTTCTAAAAATCAATAAAAACATATCCTCGAGTGAGGATTGAAAAAACAAAAAAGCATTTAAAAAAGAGTACAGCCCAGCTGGTGTAGTTCAGTGGTTGAGTGTCAACCCATGCACCAAGAGGTTGCCAGTTTGATTCCCAGTCAGGGCATATGCCCAGGTTGTTGACTCGATCCCCAGTTGGGGGCATGCAAGAGGCAGCCAATCAGTGTTCTCTCTCATTGATGTTTCTCTCTCTCTCTCTCTCTCTTCCTCTTCCTTCCTCTTTAAAATCAATAAAGAAATATTATTGAAAAATAAAGAGTACACATGTAAATTCTATAAATAGTAATATTTCTATTTAAATATTTTAAATATTTCTATTTAAATATTTTAATAAGACATATGGAGGCCCTGGCCAGTTTTGCTCAGTGGTTAGCACATCGGCCTGCAGACCAGAGAGTCCCTGCTAAGGGCATGTCCCTCAGTTGCAGTTTGTTTCTGGCCCCGGTTGGGGTTGAGTGGGTGGCAACCAATGGGTCTCTCTCACATTGATGTTTCTCTCTCTCGTCCCCTCCCTCCCTCCCGCTCTATCTGAAGATAAAGGCAAAAATGTCCTCAGGTGAGGATTAAAAAAAAAAGACATAGGGAGGACCAGAGCCAATATTTACCGAATACTTGCTATGTGTTAAACAATAGGCTATGTACTTAGTTATCTCATTCACTCCTAACCAACACTCTAAAATTAAAACTAAGGCCCAAGGTGTTTGAGATTCTTTAGTGCCTAACAGTACCCACCTGATAAGAAGCCAGGTTGGAATTTGAATCTAGGTCTGTTTTACCCCCGAGTCTGTTATTATACTGTCTCACAAGATGTTTGTACATGTCTATGGAATAACTGTTTCTTGCTTTTCTTTCTAGTTTTTTCCAAATGGATATGCCTTTGCCACTGGCTCTGATGATGCCACGTGCCGTCTCTTTGACCTTCGTGCAGACCAAGAGTTATTACTGTATTCTCATGACAATATTATCTGTGGGATCACCTCCGTAGCCTTCTCAAAAAGTGGGCGCCTCCTGTTAGCTGGTTATGACGACTTTAATTGTAATGTGTGGGACACACTCAAAGGAGATCGTGCAGGTTAGTACCTAAGTCCAAATTACGTGAAAGGTTCCCATTTGTCATTTGAGGGCCCTGGACAACCTGGATCTAGGGAATGGCAGCCCAGCAGTTCTTATTCATGTCATTGTTGCCCTTTGAATGCATTTACAGTTCATAAACCATAGCTACATTTCTGTTTTCTGAAGAGTTAACATCTAGTTCTGTCATATTTTCTTTTTTTTAAAATTCAGATACAGGTGAAAGTTTATTTAGAAAGTCACAGAGGTAGAAAAAGTGAGCCAGCTGGGCTGTGTGGGCTCAGGAAACAAGTTACAGAGGCAAAAGAAGGGTCCTTGGAGCTTAGGAGAGAGAGCAGAGATATGTACCTTGAGGGAAGAAGAGAGTAAGTGCTCCAGAGAGAGGAAGAGAGTTCCCTGGGGAAGGAAGTGGGTGGGGAAAGGCATGGGCGTGCTCAAGAGGGAGCATGCATGAGCTTGTAAGCCCATATTTTCTTGTTTGATATAAAGATGAACAGTGAATATAATGCATTGTGGTCTTTTCCAAATTACAGTGTTCTTATAACCTGGCAGGAAACGGATCATCTTCCTTCTGTCTTCCCTTAGCCCCATACTCTGAGTTCTGTCCTGCAGCTTCCAAAATACTCATTTGTACACCAAGTCATACTGGCGACTGCCACTAATAACAAACTACACAGAGTGATTTAATTCTTTTAATGTTCAAGTTATGTTTAAGGAATCAAATTGTTCTACATGGCATGTTACCACAACACAGCAGGCCTCTGCCCCAGCCCATGCTCCCTGCTTCAAAGGTAGCACGTCTGTTGAAGGTTTGGCTTTATCATCCCTCCTCCGACCACACTGCACAAGCCACCTTCTTCCCAGCTTCCAGCTTTCCCCATTTTGTGAATTTTGCTTAGAGCATCAGAGTTGACATTATTGTGACTTTTTAAACAGTACTTACTGCTGAGCCATGAGGTATATACTGTGACTACTTTGCTATGCAGCTTTTAATATTCTCTAGGGTTAAATTAATGTTTTGGCTTATTCTTGGTTTTGATGTACTTCTCACTAATTAATCTTCAACCTTGCTGCCAGTTTTGATATGTCTTGGAGTGGATCCATTTTCATTCATTGTGCTGGGTATTCAGTGGACCTTTTCAGTCTGGAAATTTATACCCTGTAGTACTAGGAAGGTGGGGGTGGGGGTGGGGGTGGTATCTCATTGCTAGCATTTCTTGTTCCATTACCATGATCTTTCTAAAACATTATTCTGACATTTGATTTCCTTGGATTTTCCTTAGATTTTCTTACTATATTCTCTCCTATTTTCCATGTTTTATTTTGTGGTTTTTTTTTTTCCCCTCAATGTTCTAGGAGAAATCCTTGCCCCTTTTTCCAACGAGCCTTCTGTTAAGTTCTGGTTCTTTATTTTTGCTATCATCTTTTTGAGATTTTTTTTTGTTAAGGCATCCATTCTTTGTTTCATGAATAAAGGCTTTTGTTTCTCTGAGGCTATTAATGAAAGCCTTTTTGAAGTTCTCTTCAAACATAATCTTCTGTGCTTTCCAAGTTGCTTTTTTTTCTTAGTCCCGTCTTTATTTAGACTATCCCCTTAAAACTGGCGATTCTTAGCGTATTGCTCATACTGAAGAGTGAAGCACTAAACTGTTTGAAGGCCCCGTACACGTGGCTGGGTGTTTTACCCACAGGCCTCCCTGGACAATCTGACCAGGCATTCGCTGGGGATCCCTAAAAGATCTTACAGACTTCCCCCTTGGGCTGGCCATGTTCTCTGAGATGGATTTTCCACCTTTCTCCCTGGAATGTATAAACTGGCTGCCCGTTTGGGGGCTGACTTCAGGATGAAAGCTGGGGGCAGAGGGCAGAACAATTAGCAAGTAGCACGTTCTGTATTCTCCATTTTCAGCAGTTTCACTGATCTCGGCTGTGCTTGTTTTCTTCCAAGTAAGAGACCGTTTTATTCTCTAGCGAGTAGGTCTCTATATTAGTCTTGTGTCGGTGCAGGATGATTAGTCACCTGGTTCTGAAGTGGAGGAGGAAACCCCGGGAGTCTGATTCCCGAACACTTTCTAATGCAGTCTTGGTTTACCCCGGCTTTGCCCCTGGCTGGTTCGAGATGACTGGTTTCACTAGTGTCTGACCTTTTTGGAGGTTCTGCAGTGTAAGTTTGTTTGCCTTAACAGACCATTTACTAAGAAGTCAGCATTTAAGGGTCCCCTAAAACAGTTCCCAGCGTCCAGCTTACAGATGTTGCCATTGCCCCTCTCGTGGGTTTCTGTCCTTACCCTTTACACTCCTGTGTAGTTCTGGAGGTTTCTGAGGGAATCAATGCAACGCGAACATTCCCAGGAATAATTTTCTACAATCTCTCTTAAGAGGTTGTAGAAAGGTTCACAGTTTGCATTTTGGAGCTATTCTGTTTCCCAAAGCCAATTACTTTTTTAAAGTATTAGGTGCTTTGCCTGGATTGAATCAATTAGTATCCATAACAAAATAAAAATGTTTGCTTTCTATATTTTTTAACATGCTTGTTTTAATTTTGCTTTGCTTACAGCTGATTGGTCTCAAAGTGACTCAACTGGACATTTTCTGTTTTTTTGGTTTTTTTTTTAATCCTCACCCGAGGATATTTTTCCATTTTTTGTACAGATAGAATGGGAGGGAGAGAGAGGAAGGGAGAGAGGGAGAGAAACATCGACGTGAAGGGATACATCGAGTGGCTGCCACCCGCACGACCAACCAGGGCCGGGGACAAACTGCAACCGAAGTACATGCCCTTAGCGGGAACCGAACCCGGGTCTCTCCGGACCGCAGGCCGACGCTCTAACCGCTGAGCCAAACCGGCCAGGGCTCAACTGGACATTTTCACCTTAACATTGAATCGTGGCTCATTCTCATACTAATTCCTTCTCCTTTCCATTGTGAGTTGTATTTAGCCACAATGTTCATTTCTTGTTATTTCAACCCATAATGGTAAATTTGCCCATTGCCATACTGGACATGCTACAGACAATATTGTTAGACAAGATGAATTTCTGTTCCTGAGATTGTATGAGAATATTCTTCATTATATATAGAGGGAACATAAGCTCAACACAATATTATTGTTTTTCTGTTTTTTCTTTTTGAGAGAGTGAGAGATAGAAGCATCGATATGTGAGAGAGACACATGGATTGACTGCCTCCTTCCCCCCCACTGGGGATCGAGCCTGCAACCCGGGCATGTGCCCCGACCAGGAATCGAACCAGGACCTCTCAGTCATTGGGACAATGCTCTATCCACTGAGCACACTGGCTGGGCTCAATACAGTATTAAAGAAAAAATTCTTTTGAGAATTTGATAAATTCTATTTTTTCATAAAATCTTTCATTTTTCATTTTTCTTCCATATACTTGGGAATGTTTCATTTTATCCCCGTGTGGTAATCAGAATATCGAGATTAATATACATATGAAACCATAACTAGATGAGTTTGATGGTTTCAGCAAGTTATAACCAAACATTCCAGTGTTTGGTGGTTAACAGAAGAAAGTAAAATCATGTTGGTATTTTTGGAAGTGGTGATATAAGGCAACTTTGTTCTTATGTTTTTGTTGTTCTTGTGACAAAAGACTACCTCGCTGAACATTTTTTGTTGGAAAAAGCATAGCTCAGTGGCTAACTCTAGAGAAGCATGAGCTTATTAGAGACGTAGAATAGCAGCCTGTATGTTTTCCTAGATCTAAGAAACCATAATTATGAAATAATTTTTCAAAAGTGAGTGACGAGTTGATTAACGTCAAAAATTCATGTTGTAAAAAGAATCGTATTTTACTTACATGTCCAGTTTACCCCCGCAGTCTCCAGACACAGAGAAGTTCATTAGCTTCTAAGTACCTTCCAGATGTTCTGTGCATACACTTTTTGAATTCTAAAACTTGCCATTGCTAACTTTTTACTGACCTTTGTTTTTCAGGTGTTCTCGCTGGTCATGATAACCGTGTCAGCTGTCTGGGTGTAACTGATGATGGCATGGCTGTGGCCACAGGCTCTTGGGACAGTTTTCTTAGAATCTGGAATTAACAGAGCATACCATTTTGCTGTTCTCCGTTGATATCTGGAGAAATCAGTGCTACAGCCTATAGCTGTGAAAAAAATTCTCCCTTATATTTGCAGTTGAAGATTTTCTATTGAGATTACTATATACAAAAAGAAGCTTTCAGAGAACTACAAAACAGAAAAATGATGGGGAAAAAAAGGCAAAGGCAAAGGTGCTTGCTGAGATCAAAAGGACCAGAGTATTGAGTTGAGCTAATTTAACCTTGATGAATTTTTGCTTTTACTCAGTCTGATTCTGTTTTCTTTGTATAGAACAAAATGTACATTATAGCAACCTATCATGTTTGTTTGCATTTTTTAAGAACTTCATTTTTAACTTTGTATACATCAGAAATGCCACGTTTTTGAGTTTAGTAATGGAGGAACCAGGCACAGTAATAGATGGAAGTAATACCATATGTGTCTGTCCTTATGTTTGAAGAAAGTCTCCTTGAATTCTGACCTCCCCTTTTCATCTAAGAGATCCTGGTTGCTTAATGTTTAAAGAAGGCTGACAGGTAGGTGCCTGAGGGGAACCCTTTTGAATATCATTAGTTTCTGGTACATCCTTTGCTATCCTATCAATTTAAATAAGTGCTCATTTTCAGTCCTTTCAGAAGAAGATAATCTGAAGGCTAGGAAGTAGAGATTCACTCTGAAACTTAAGACATGCGTAATAAAAACATTATTAATATTAATAGGTAGATAGCAATAATTGCATATAAATGAATCTTAGCATTTTAAAAAGCACATTATGTTCAAATGACACTTCAAGTAATCCTCTAAATAGTTGGGCTTTCCTATTAATTTCTTATTCTAGAACTGAGTTTGTAGAGTATACTCATTATTCCAGAACATTGATGAACATTTGGATAGTCTTTGCATCTGAATAATTTTTCCCCAATATTCTCTGTCAGTATGCATCTAGATCTAAGGAAATAGGACAGCATTATGTTTTGAAAGAAGTGTAAAATATAGCCAATCACTAGACCTGAGTATAGTTATGACAAGGTGGCTTTATGAATTTATGTTCACATATATAAAATCTGAATTGATGTAAATTGCGCCTTCAAATTTTAGAAAGGAAACATTTAAGCTATGCTCTTCTGTAATATTCCTTTCCTTAGCACAAAATATTGATTTCTAAGTGGTGTGGCTCTGCTTCAAAGAATGGCTAGATCCAAGTGGCTTCCATTTTGAAGCCAAAAGGAAAATACCAAGAACAGTCTGTAAGGGAGTCAGAGGAAAATACTAATCAATTCATTCCTCTGCTTGTCAGTGATAATAATAATGTGTTGTCTATCACTAGAATGGGCCCTCCTGGATTTAAACAAAGATACCCTCCCCTTTGGATGTTCTACAAATAAATCTAAATGATTGACAATGGAAGACTGTTAGTTTTGCTTGATGGTCAAGTCACGGGTTATTCTGACATGTTATAGAAGTGCATTGTTTTGTTAAATCAGTAAACTGTGTTAGTTACTGTTGAGATTGGTCTCTGTTAACTTTCGATCACCTGTAATCCTAAATATTCCCAAGTTTTATGCCAGTTTTCATTTTTATACTGTGAATGTCCTAATAAGTGCACCAACTATAATGAAGTCAGTTTTAACATCAGTTGATATTAAAGAGAACAAAATGAATAAAGGAAGATTAAGATATGGGCCAACAAGACTTGTAGATGGCAGGCATGAATGTATATTTATACAAAGGTTTCTATGACTCTATTAATATTTGTGGACTATTTATATCATTTTGTAAAGAGCAGCTCTTTGAGATAAGGTGAGAATCTTTTAAAGGAACACAGTCATTTCCATCAGAAGCAGCTCTTCGAGATTAAACAAGAATATTTTAAAGGAATGTATTCATTCCCAAAGGGGGTGGAAGAGTTTGCTGTGTAGTTCAGCAATCTGTCCCAAATGCTAATAAAAAAAAGCACTCCTGCCATGTGCAAAATAACCTTGTATAGAGTATCCCCTCTACTTTGAAAGTTATTCTAGGAACAAGAACTTTAGAGAGGCACACAGACTATAATTCTATGGTATTAAAACTATGTTGATAAAAATGATTTAATGTTGTTAGTTTTTGTGGATAGTTTAAAAGCAAATCCCATAGTTAAATATGTACTAGGTAACTTAACTCTACCAAGACTGTGGCTGATTCTTATATATATGACCAAATGGTGACCTCATTACATTAACTTACTAGTTAAACCTTTGCTTTCTAGTAATATGGGTTCCAGTTGCTAAATGTCTGCAGTTTGAGTTCAGCTGATTGTCTGTTTAATTGTTGTTCATGAGATTTCCTGAAATAAAAAAGAATGGTATATAATTTGTAGAAACACTGTATGGTTTGAATCTATTTCTGAAGACTTAAAAAATATGGCCAAATGTAGTTTTAAGGAATTTGTGTCATCAAGAAACAGGTTTTATTTGTAGACTCTGTAATCACCTCATAGAGATCTGACAAGACTTTTTGTTTGATGCAGTCCCATTTCATTTTTTCCTTTCTCTGGCTTCAGTGGTTCTCAACATTCCTAATGCCATGACCCTTTAATACAGTTCCTCATGTGACCCCAACCACAAAATTATTTTCGTTGCTATTTCATAACTGTAATTTTGCTACTATGTCTTAGGCGACCCCTGTGAAAGGGTCGTTCGACCCCCAAAGGGGTTGCGACCCACAGGTTAAGAACTGCTGCTGTAGGCGATGTAACAAAGAATATTCTAAAGGCATGCTCTTTTTTTAAAACAAACAGTGACCTGCCATGTGCTTAACCAAATCATCCCCAAAGCCTGCTCAAGAAAGCACTTCTTGCTACCTTGAGTTAGGCCCCACCCTAACTCATATTTCTGTACCTGTAATTCCAAAGTTACACACACATACAGAGTTCCATCTTCGTAGAAGCAAAGACTTGGGCTTAATATTTCAACTACAAGAGAGACTAGCAGGCAGTTCTCCCTTAATTCAGATCCGGCTGAACTGATTAATACTGCAGGATGATAGTATGGTCTCCTAGACACATTGGATGTAGGTGCTTCCGGAGTATGGGGCAAGCAATTTAAAAGTTAACCTGCTAGATTCTTGACTTCTCCAGGTGAGAAAATGAAATTTTTATTATTGTTTAAAAATACTGTGAAATATGATATAACTGACCTTTCCAACATTTTTGAGGTTTTAGATTTAATAATAAAGACTGACCATTTTAAAAGTGAAAACTTTTAGGGAAACTGACACTTTGAACACCTGGTGAATGTCTCACATTTAGAATTATAACAAAATTGAATACTTGTGGCTTATTTGTTGATATATTCAAACTTATGGAAACTGATTAAACAATCTCCCATAAGAGCCTACAATTTTAATACTTTCTTTCTAGAATTAGTATTATTTTTCTAGAATCTTTAGGGTGTCGGGCTTAAATTTAATTACTATGTTCAGCTTCTAGTTCCCCTTTTGTCATTGTGACTAGCAAAATTTTAAACTTTGTCCCCTCCTGTTAGAAGACCCACCAGCTAGACCATCTTTCTTGTGAGGAAGGGTAGCACAATGATAAAATTGGCATTTTAAATTTGATTAAATTGAATGTCAAGTACACTTTGTATTTGCTAGTTTTTCTCTTTCCTTTTGGGTTACCTTAAATTTAGTGCTCTATTTAAAAATATTGGTTACCATAGGTACTCATGAAAATGGTTTGTATTTGAATGACAAAGCTAGCATTGTTTAAAAAAGGAATTTACTCATCACAGATTGATGGTACACCTTGTATTTAGCAAATTTGTTTGCATGTTGATAAAATTTCTTTTTTCTTAAATCCAATTACTGATCCTATAAAAGTTATATTGCAGCATTAAAAAAAAAAATTGGTTGTCTTAACTGGTGTCCAGTGTGCCCAACAAAAAACTTACATCACACAGTTTATTTCTTAGTTAACAGAACTTCAGAGGTATACTTTATAGATATTTCAAGCCTTTTCTGTCTGTTACACAATGGTGCTCTATCCTATTGTTTTCTTTACAAAGAAGCATCTGAACACTGTATTTGCATATTCTTATCCAAAGGCATCCACAGCTACGTGGGTTTTTAATAAAAGTTTGATTAAAATGTTTTTTCTTCACCTAGAATGGTTTTTACACACTTGTGGCCAACTGACTTGGAACGTCAATAGTATAACTATGGGAAAGGTGAATGTACTAGATTAAAGCTCTTCTAAAAGCTTTAAACAAACGATGGATCGGTCCCATGATTTAACAGTATTCTTGGAACTTTCTTGCAGTGATTCATTCCTTTATTTGTACAGTAGCTCTGTGAAATAATGTTGGCTGTGAATTGATATTGTAATCAATAAAGTACTTTAACCAAATTTCATGTGGCATATTAAGTCAATTTTAATTTTAAAATTAAGTCCCAGAACTAAACTCCAAGCCCAATATTTCAGGCTCAGCCCTAGTTATTACTTTATCTAAACATATGTCATGGGCTTCCAGGGCAAGAAGGAGATTGGAGTGCTCCTTTAGAACTATGTTAGCTTACCATTAAAGGACCATACATTTTCATTGAAAAGCAAAACTAAGTCATTCTTTCCCTGGCGCTCCCTTAGGATAAACAATTATATTGGTTCTAGGACTGATGATAAGTTTTTAGTTTCATCACCACAGCCTTGGGGGAGGATGAATGAGGAAACTTTCAGTAGGTGACCAGGCATGCTAAACAAGTTAATTCAATCAAAAGATGAGCCAGTCTACCCAAGATAATGCCAGTATAGATACTACATTTTTATCGATTATCAGACAAAACAACTTTTATTTTCACCTTGCAAGTTTGCATACTTATTGAAAAAATGTAGTTTTGTAAAAAGTTTGAGGTTATACAAAGTTTATAATTCTGCAAACAAACATAGTGAACAAGAACTCTGAACTGTATCATCTGTAACTTACATGATTTCTGTAGAATTCATGGGCTTGGTCACAGGTGCACTTAACCTCTAGGCATAAAGGTTGTGTTTTATTATTTCCCAGGAGTCCTCAAACGTTAGTGTGCATTAGGATGACCAGGAGGATCTTCTTACAACAGATTACTGGTCCCCAAAGCTAGTGTTTTTGATTCAGTAGAAGTCTAGGGTAGGACCCCAGCATGTGCATCTCTTACAAGTTGACAAGTGATACTGTTGATCCAGGGACCAAACTTTGAGAACCACAAGAGTGTACTAATGAGATGATACCAAACCACTATGCTGTTTACAAATTTCAAGTACTTTGTATAGAGTTAAGAACTTGAGCCCAGTTGGTGTGGCTCAGTGAGCATCGACCCATGTACCAAGAGATCGCTGGTTTGATTCCCATTCAGGGCACATGCCCAGGTTGTGGGCCCAATCCCCTGTGGGGGGCATGCAGGAAGCAGACAATCGATGTTCTCTTTCTCCCTCTCTCTTCCCCTCTCTCTCTCTAATATCAATAAAGAAGAAAAAAGAACTTGAGCTTGTAACCTAAATTAATACCCAGTCTTAGACATCAAGTCTTCATGTTGCAGTTGTTATCTGATCCACACATGTTGGACCATACCAATTTTTGGTTATAAAGCAACAACAAAAGCTATAAATTAATATTTATTGCAATTTGACACTGCACCCTAGTATCTGATTTGCATAAAAATATACTTTTGAAAGGCTTCTATGGCCTAAATAATATTCTCCTTAAAATATCCTGAAAAAGTGTTGTTGCACCTGCTGTGAAAGACAGAATGGCACCCAGGAGCCTTAAAGGCACAGAAAAGGAAGTACTGAATATTAAAAGAAAGAGTCTGAAATGTTACCCTCCCATGGAAAAGAAGCACAAACATAATTGGCATGGTGTCCTCTGTGCATTTCTAACAAGCATTTAGGTGATGCTGGTTTGGTGGTCCTCAAGGCTACGTTTTGCATAGCAAAGCACTAGAATGTCATTTTTTAAATGTTTCCATATAAATTTCAATTAGTGTTTAACACAAACACACACAATACTTGAATCCATAAACATTTCATTAAACTAAAAATACAGTGATATTTTTAACCATGCCCTGGCAAATTCATACAATTAAATAAAAGTAAAGCTACCCCACAAGGACAATCCAGCAGTATCCTCAACAAATACCTTCTGAACAAAGTTTGTACACAACTCTAACCACCCAAAATTCAGACCTCCCATCTCTGGCTATTTTTATCACTTCAAACTTCTAAAACTTAGAAAGCTTTCCTTACTGTAGTCATAACTGAAGCTGAAAATGTTTCTTTAGAACATCAGGAAGCTATTTTGACCCAGATACTTTAAGAAGAGACTATCAGAATAACAAAGCTTTATACTGCTTTACATCAGTTTTAACGGGAATATAAGGAGTAAAAAAACAGCTTATTTATTAGTGGTTTACATACCTGCCAGAATGGCAAATATTACTGTTAACTTGCAAGATAATACACTCAAGAACATTCCACACTCCTTTTTGGTGGCTAAAGCAATGCAGATGTAAAACAAAAACAAAAAAGTGACTATTCCCATTAAAGTGACATCAAAAATTAGTTTTGAGAAAGAAGATGAGCATTCTCTAACTCCTGGATGCCAGGAAGCAGAGTTTTTCAGAATCAAAAACAAAGAGAGCCCTAATTAAGAGCAAGGCTCCACCCCTCAGGGGTCACATAGTTGGTTCTGTTGCTTTTAACTAATTCATCATTTTAACATATCAAACATTTAGCCTGTTGTTTACCCCCAAATTAAAACGAGAGAGACATAACAACACTCTTCAGAAATGCAAACACCCTGAGATAGATCATTACCAGAATCTACACAAGAATTTGCTGTTTAGGAATAGTGAACACAATTCATATTTAAAATCATTTCATAAAAATAACTGTCCCAAATCATCCAAGTTGCATTTTCTCCTATGATGATCACCGAAGCGATTTATATTGTTAAGATTCTTCTTCATTGCTTGAACGTAGAAACTGCTTAGTAAAATTCTCCAGCTCATTTTTAAGTTGAACAGCTTTATTTCTAATTTAAAAAATGAACAAAACACCAAAATCATTAAGGTAAATGAGAAAAAAGAATGCATTCCATCCAATCTTAACCCCACTAGCCAGCTGCTGCTACATTTATCTGAACTCAGACTAAACTATAAAAACCGTTTTATGAGTACTTCTATGTGCTACTACAGCTTTGCAGTAAACACAGAGTCCAATGTTCAGAACTTAAAGAGAATGAAAAGCATAGGAAACAGGAGTCCTGTGGCCTTACATGGGAGTTAATGCCTAAGTCATGTACAGTTATAACTGTCCTTGAATTTCCTTTAAGTTAAACATAAAGGATAGAATTTGGTTTTATATATGGATCACACATTAAAAAAAACCCCAAAACCTAGAATCTTATCTGATGCAGCCAAATACCATAAAAAGAGGAAAACAGGAACTAAAACTGACCAAGGAACAAAATTTGGTCCCTCATTCTCATACTATGCCAAGGCACATGCTTAAATGAGCTTCTTCCTTTCTTTTTATCTTGGTCTTGTT